CAAATGTTGAAAGGAAAGAACCCATTGTTCATAAGGAGAAACTCTCAACATCTCCAAGTATTTGCAGGACCAATTAAAATGGATGCTCTGTCAACTTTAATTATTTTAGGAAAAAGGACACAAGGAGTTATATCCTAACATTTCAAATCTCTTGCTCATATTGGGACAAACGTGCTGTGACATGAGAAGCAACTGGCTGGTCAGAAATCACTGTCAGCGAATTACGGCAAGCTAATAAAAATCAAACAAAAGTGCTTGGCCACTCTGTAAGGAGATCTTCCCATTATTCCAAGCAAATCATTTTGCTTGCATATCAGGGGGAAGCAGCATGGTCTAATCCTTCATCATTAATGGCAAGAACATCAGACTGAAAGTCAGGAGTCCTGGCCCTGCCATTTTAAGGGTGACCTTGGACAAGTTTTTAAAGATTTGATATTCATTTATTCAACAAATATTTATTGAGTGTGAGATCCCTGTTCTCATGCAATTTATATTCTAATAGAAGAAGAAAGAGTTCATATAATAAATAGACAAACATAAGGACAGGCAGGAAGGAGTCAGCAGACACTGGTGAGTGATTTGTGGAGAATTAAGACAGCAATAAAACAGACCATGACTGAGGTGGTTAACTTAGGCTGTACAGTCATTGTAGAAAAGGAAACATTTAAGCGAAAATATGGGGAAGGCAGTACTCCTTTCTGGACTTCTGTATCTTTTTCTGTAAAATATGACTGCTGAAGTGGGATGCTTCTGAAAGTCTCTTCTAGTTCTAGGAATCTGTGATTTCATGGCTATTGAGGATATGTGATATGGATGTGTGCACATATATTTTTAACTTCAAATATTATCCTATATTTGGTTAAGTAAATCATGACAGTGAGTCTTAGCTTTGAAGACATTTAAGGTAACAGTAAATTATTTGTAAGGATCTAAATGTAACTTGGCATACTGGACTTTTGTTGCTGTTCTCTGAGCTCTGAGAGGGAAGGGCATATTTTACTAAAAATTTGGAAATACAGTCAAACTGATTTCTGAAAAGAAGGGTTAATATGTCCTTGCACATTTCAAAGTAGGCAAAATACATGCATTTGTAATGAGGTTAGAAATTGTCTCAAACTAATTCTTCTGGTGATCACTTACAACCACAAATTCAGATATATTGAAATTTTAAAAGGTAAAACTAAGCCACATGTTCTTTTTTACATAAAAATGGGAAAAAAGTTTGAGGTGATAAGGTATGGGATTTTTTTTAAAGGAAATAACCATATTTTGCCCCATATTTTTCACGCACCAGTTAGCTAGAAAATTACAAAAGCTGAAAAACTCAGATAAGCCATACTACGAGGATTAACACAACACATTCATCCCCTCCCCCCTGCCCCCATGTCCCTCTCTTTTTTCCTCCCACCCCAAGCTGGGGCATATTTCTGGAATGGAAATAAAAGCCTCTCAAACTGTTGAAAAATGAGGGTCTCTGAATTTTTAATTCTGTTAACTAATCATTAGAAAACTAGAAATTACTGTCTCTCTGAGAACCGGTGAGGTAGCAAGAACCAGAGACTGTGTTTAATTTTGCAGGAGCTGGCTGGTTTCCCAGCAACACACTGATTTGTGGGGCCACTACGTTGGGCACCTCGAGGATAATTAAATATCAAGTCTCTCTGAAGTATGCAAAGTCTGCCTAAGAGAGATAGCAGCCACACTGAAGGTACCAGTCCCACATTTTTTGGTAATTGAACATTGCAATATCATTATCTATTCTTATCCTTACGCTGTAAGAACTCGTCTCTATCCTTAATATCACCCAAAGTATCTCTGAGAATGAAGAAGGGGATAGAGAGAAAATGGAAAAAACGAGAGCGTATACAGTCAACCCTCGGGGATCTTCTAGGTATTTGGGATATGGAGATGAAGAGTGGAGTTTAATGTATGTGAGAGAAATGATGAGGGAAGCACAATATCCTCTATCTCCTCTAGTTCAAGCTTCCATTTTATATATTGAGCAGCCAAACACATAGATGAAGAATCTTCCTCCAAATTATAAAACTAGTGGTAGAGGGAGGATGGACACATACACAAGTATCTGTCCACTAGTGCCATCATCTTTCTACTACTCTAGTGAAAGGTAACACAATTTTTGAAAAACAATAATTTAAGAGACAATTTAAACTACGGGCATAGTTTTGTAACATACCAGAAGTTGTTGGTGTTTCCATTCTAAACGCAATTTTTCTGCATTCATTCACCCAGTAACGAGAGGTTATTTACAATTATAAGTCATATTCTGCCATCAAAAGCACCTGTCCTTCAAAATAGATTTCCATGAGTAATGCCAGACAGACACTTTTAATTTCTAAAGGAGGAGGGGGACACTCACTGAGTTACTTCTTGGAGAAGACTCTAGATGAGTAGCATCATTAAGCCAGTGTGATTTTCTTATTTGTACTACCAAATATTTAACAAATCCATATCATTACCTACCAAGAACAGGGAAAATGCTCTTACATAAGGGGAAAGCATAGAGGAGAGAAAATAAAAAGAATGAGGAGGATATGAGATGACTTGTATTAGAGTCATTCAGAGACTCTTAGGAGAGATTTCCTAGAGGGCCTGAAAAAGATCGCACCACCACAGAAGAAATATTGGCGAAGTGCAGTTACACGTGGATTTGGCAAATGAGACAAAATAGTTTGCACTCATAACAATAAAGTCAGGTCAGTTTAGAAAAGTGCTTGAGAAAAAAATCTTAATTACAAGCCAAATTTCCTTAAGTTCTGCTTTCGGAAAAAAGTTAAGCTATCAAGGAACTAAAATCTCAAAAAAATTCAGAAATCCTTGAACTCATATAAAAGTTACAACTTGTTTCTTGAGTAATTAGAACATTGAGAAAAGCTTAAAAGAAGAAATAGCAATGATACTTATTTATGAAGAGCTCGGGTTCAAATATCAAAGTGTATGTTCTAGTGTTTCAACATGTCAGATAATATGGACATTTTCCCCTTTTCCCAACTTGTACACTGTGTCCTAGTATCTTTAGAATATTAGGAATCTGACACAACATAAAGCAAGGCTCTAACCAGAGAAATCAGCCTCATTATCCTGACAGGAAGGTGAAACTGACTGAAGTTGAGAACTTGAAAAGTGAAGGTGTGAGGAAAGTACATAACTGTAGTCACGTTCATTTGCTTCAGGACCAGAATCAGAACCTAAAGTTCCACATAGCAAAACTAATGTGACCTATTTTAGGGTTTACCCCAGGGATGCCACATGAACCTTCGTGTTTGCTGAAAACAAGTACATCTCTAACTTCTATGCCCCGTACCTGGAACAGAGCTCACGGCCTATTGCCTTCATGTTCCTAGCCTGTTCTTTAAAAAAAACTGCAAGTGGCTTCCTCAAGTAATACAAGGCAAAATGTTGAGACTGAACATGTTAAGGTAACAGTGCTTCAGAGAGAGTATGATTCTGACATTCATGACTTTTTAACTACAATCCACTTCAGTGATTTGACAAGAGTAGAGAATCTTTGATAGGTCCATCTTTTTTGAATCTCAGTTTCTCTAACTCTGAAGAGCAAACAATAGTATTGACCTCTTCATCTCACAGAGGAAATAAATAAGACTATATCTGATAATGATTACAAAGATATTCTGTGATGAGCTCCAAGATATTCTTAAAATCTGAATCATTTTTTAAAAGAAATTTATTGTTCTTTGGATGTGGTAATAACCATATAAATTATAAACCTGCTTTATAATTAGACAGTAGAATGAGTTGGAGTTAGACTTCTAGGAAACTCTTTTGCAATGGGGATTATCTGGGAAGTCCTAGTTGCTAACACTTATTGACATGATGACCTAACCCTGCTCGCTAAAGCACGTGATTAAGGTTACTGACTCCTGGACCCTATGGCCTCAGGGTGCATCAATTTAGAATTTAAGCCAAACTTCAACAGCCACCATATTTCTTTGATTTAGGAATTAGTATTCTTATTTATTCAATCAATAAGGATTCAAACTCTGAGTATGTGCACAGGATACTTAGGGTCAAAAGATGGTAAATATATCCTCTAGGGCTTCAGTTTTCATGGTGGTGGGAAAACAAAACTTTTAACAGTAATTAATAATGATAATAATTATAAATAATTAAGGCTCAAATATATGGAATTCAAGGTTCCATTAAGCTTGCAATGGTTAGAGAAGGTTCTAGAGAGAAGATGGATTGAGTGAGTCTTGAAGTACAGTATGAATAAACTAAGATCTTGTGTCTCTGCTACATTACGTCCTTCTAAATATAGGGAGAAGGGACAGCATTTTAGTACCTGGGTAAAGCACGAAGGAAATGAATTAGCTAAACTGTTCACCATATTTCCATTCAGATCTGCATTTTTCCTGGGCAAGAGTAAGCCACCATAATTAACTGATACTGTGAACCATCCTATCTCCTATTAAGAGAAAAATAATGTACATGTGTTTCTACATGTAATCTACCATGCATACGCATGTTCAAGCATATGGAAAAATAAAAATTAACTTTGTTGCACATATTCAACTACTAAATAGCTGACTGATAAATATATTGGAAAGTCTGCATTACCAAGAAGATTATCCAGTTGACAGTTGTTTAAAGAAATGAAGAACTGACCTCCAATTATTGGTTTTTTTTTTTCCTTTTGAGATGGAGTCTCGCTCTGTTGCCCAGGCTGGAGTGCAGTGGTGCGATCTTGCCCATTGCAATCTCTGTCTCCCAGGTTTAAGTGATTCTCCTGCCTCAGCCTCCCGAGTAGCTAGGACTACAGGTACGTGCCACCACGCCCGGCTAATTTTTGTAGTTTTAGTAGAGATGGGGTTTCGTCACGTGGGCCAGGCTGGTCTTGAACTCCTGGCCTCAGGTGATCCTCCCACCTTGGCCTACCAAAATGCTGGGATTACAGGCGTGAGCAACCGCATCTGGCCTAATTATTGTTAGTAAGAAAAATAATCATTCAGACACTCCCTTACCTGTTTCTGGGGCCAGGAGGCTTTGAGAATGGCTTCAGTTCTAAAGAAGACGAGGAGCTTGCTGTCCTCCTCAGTCAGGTGAAATGATTGCCCCAAAATCTGCAGCACGTGAATGCGGGGCCGCACCGGCCAGGCGTCATCAGCACAGAAAGGCCGCAGCCACTCCAGCAGGTCCTCAGGGGAAACCAGCTCCTCACTGCAGGGCAAAATCCAGAGGTATCTGTAAACTCCTAAGCCTTTTATTTTCCCCCTTCCAGTAATCAAATGTGGTCACTGACCTAACACTTGTTTGTTGGATGACTTCATTTTTTTCCTCTTGAAAGGAAAAATTTTGGTTTTTAAATGGCTTACAGCAGGTATTTAAAACCTATGTAAAATGAAAGTAATTTTTAAATAGTATCATATTAAAATGAGTTATATAAAGCAGATAAATATCCTTGGCTAGTTTGTTTCAAAATTTAGTAAGTAGTAAGGCTTATTTCTGTTAGTGATACCAATAGCGCAAGGCTGCATTGTAGTAATTTTATATATCTGATTACTCGTTGACAATAATTAAGCAAAGTAGGTATCGTAAGTTACTCTTTACAGCTGAACCAATAAACTTCAGGGAAGTGATATAACATGCTCACACAAATGTATAGTAGTGCTGTATGACCCCAAAGCTCCAGTTCTTTCTACCATTTTCCCCAGATGATTAGAATTTCAATATGCCATTAGAGGATCAAATTTTATACTACTCTAAAAGTAAAGTATGAATGCTTGGTTATTATAGGACTGTGAAGTTTAAAATGATTCAGAAAAGGGGACAACAAAGTTTGTACAACATTCCATCTACTACTGGAATCTCTTTTCTTGTAACCCCAAATGAATATCTTATTTGATTATGTCAATGGATTATTTATCCATAACTCTTAAGGGGTTATCCATAGAGAAGACTCACTCCCACATGGGCCTGGAGATCCCATGCTAAAGCACTGAATTATACAGGTTTTGTTGTAGCCAGATCCTTATAAGGCTTTTAGCTATAAATCACCTAGACTGAGTCCCGGTCTAACTTACCTTAAATCAAATTCCATGCCCTAATAAGATTACAAGACTTTTTTTTTTTTTTTTAAACTTCTGAGAAGAATAAAATTCTGCATTGCCACTGAGTATGTCTTTCAGTATGTATTATTTCATATACTTGTCAAATATGATCTTATGGCAATTTAAAAGAATTATTTGTATTTAAGAATAAATGAAACTACAAAATTTTGTGGATAATTGGTTTAAGAATTTCGTAAATTCAGCAACTCGGTTGTTAATTTTATCTATAAGACTTCTAAATATTTATCAGAAATGGAAACAATTCAGGTGCAAAAACAGAATACTACACCTATTTCTGGTGAACTTTTTGCAAAGTGAACAGACAGTACAGTGTAATGAGTGTAATGCAAAGACCATTAAAAAAAAAAATCTGATGGACCTAACTGAATCCTGGCTGCAGACTTTCCTAAGAACTCTAGATAAAATCATGAATATTATCCTTCCCAGGTTATAGTAACACAGATAAAGGTCCCAAGAGTGTGTCACCCGGAGTCTGTGAAACCAAGATAACATATACAAAGCACCTAGCAAATTATGTGGCACAGAGGAAGTACTTAATAAATAGTAACCATCATTGTCATAATAACGATCATCACCATAATTATCAGCATCATCAAAGCGCTATAGTTTGTGCTTAATGATACAGAGATAAAAATTATATGGTCTCTGCCTTCAAAGAAATAATAATACCATGGAACAGCAAGACTTTACAAGTGACTATTATCCAAATTACTAATATAAATGTGAACAACTCTTCTGGATGAAGAGTGAATAGAACCAGGAAAGGCTTCAGAGAGGACATGGCATCTGAACAGGATCACAAAGGATAATTAGAATGTATATAAATGGAAGTGTGGGAAAATATAATCCAGACAGAGAACAGCAAGAAAAAAACAGCAAAAGATTTCAAAGGACAAAGAATGTCCCGGGAGAGATTAAAGCACAGATGTGTGGGTGGTAAATTAGAGGAGAGCGAGCTAAGGAAGGATAGGCTTTCTCACCTAGGTAACCAGGAGACAGACAACAAGGCTGAAACGGCAGTGCAGTTTAACTCTTTGACAGCACAGGCTCTGGAGGTGTTAGGCCCAGACTCAGTGCCCACATTTGCCACTTCCTGACAATGTTACTTTGACCAAGAAGTCACTCAATAGATCAGAGCCTCAGTTTCCTTATTCGTATATTGGAGATGGGTAACAACACCTTCCTCATGGGGTTGTTGAGAAATTAAACAGAAACATAAAATAATAAATGCAAGGCATGTAATACAACATCTGGCATATAACTAAGTGCTTCAATTAAAAGCAACCATTATTATTAAGGACATCTGATCTTTTTTGCATGAAATGGGAATGATAGACGATTTGTGAGCAGTGAAACATCAAAATCATGTTATTGATTAGAAAAATGTATGGGCTGGGGCAGACTAAGGCACTTGTGATGAAGGCTTGAAGCTGTCTAATTCAGGAAGAAAGTAATTTAAAGTCCATTTCTGATTATAAGTCCTAACAGTTTCACATAAAATGAAGTTGATTTTTTTTGCCCTTTCACCCAAGTGCCAAGAAGAGACAACTAGGAAAAGCTAGAATGTGAGGAAGCTGTTGTCATGAAGACAAGCTGGAAGTTATAATAATAACCAAAGCCCCCAAAACGGTGAATAAGAATGAAAACAGTATTAATAATAACTTCTGAAGGTTTACTATGTACCATCAATTATATCACTCATCATAACTATCCTTTTCTTGTATACTGTTATCATCTCCAATTTGTAGATGAGGTAACAATCTCAGATTTAAGAATCTGACTACGGCATTTTGAACTGAATGATATTAAAATTTTAAAAAAGATCAAAATAATTTGTCCAAGGTCACACAGTAAGTAGTGGCACGAATATTTCAACTTGGACTATCTGACTGCCTTGTCAATTACTACACAATGCTACTGAACCAAACGGGCATATTCCAGAACAGTGTGGCAGTGGATTAAAATTACTCAGCTATGATGAGATAGAGAAGGATTATTACTCTAATATTCGTCAAGTTATTAAATCAAATTAGTTCCTTTTACATTAGAACTTACTGTGCGGCTAATAACATTTGACAGTTTAGAGGAACATGCTCTCATTTTGTGTTGATAGTTCAAACATATAATAAAATTAGGAGAAGTCTTTCCTAAAATAGAAGCATTGTGTTCCAGAAGAACCATGTGGTAGATGTGCTTCACTATTACTGGTGCTCAACAAAACTACACAGAAATGAAAGGCAGCTCTTTAGAAAAAGCTTCCAAGGACATTGACTAGACACTATCTCCTGAAGATTTTAGCTTCAAAATTGCTTACATTTTGATTTCAAATTGAGTTCTTAAAATTCATAGTCATTCTTATGGTTCAGCAAATATAAAAACAGATACACACAAACACATGCACAGGGAAACAGAGAGGAAGAACCATGATAAAATGTTAACAACTGGCAAATCAAGGGGAAGAGCATGTCGGTATTTTTTTTTAATCTGTGTAATTTTTCTGAGGGTTTTAAATTTTTCAAGATAAACAGGTAAAAAATAGCAATTATAACTTTCATAATGTAAAAACTAGAATAGGAAGAAGGAAAGTGATTCCATTTCTCATCTTTTACGAAAGCAAGGAGAGGATTTAATGAGCTTAAAAATTAAAAAAGGACATCATTATTTCAAAACATATTTACTTCATTATAAGGGTAATACAAATGATTTTAAAAAGTCATAAAATACACTTTGGGAGGCTGAGGCCGGCAGAACACGAGGTCTGGAGATCGAGACCGTCCTGGCCAACAAGGTGAAACCCTGTCTCTACTAAAAATACAAAAATTAGCTGGGTGTGGTGGCACATGCCTGTAATCCCGGCTACTTGGGAGGCTGAGGCAGGAGAATTGCTTGAACCAGGGAGTCAGAGGTTGCAGTGAGCCGAGATCGCGCCACTGCACTCCAGCCTGGTGACAGAGCAAGACTCCGTCTCAAAAAAAAAAAAAAAAAAGTGATAAAACAGATAAAAAAGAGAAAATCTCTCATAGTTTCACTACAAACACGTAGGGAATTGTTTCCACCTTTTTCCCTATAATGAGGATTGAGGATGGGATATTATACTGCAAACAATAATTTAGTACACTATTTTTAAAAATTAGATGATAAAGGAAACACACACAGAATCAGTTTTGGTCCAAAGAAGTCATGTGCAATACATACACAGCTCTATTAACAGAAAAGAACAACAGCAGCAACAGTGACAACAAAACTATGTTCATTGAATGACTAATTTGAGACTGTGTTACTCTGAGGTGGCATGAGTGTTCACCTGGCATTTCCCTATTATGTAATGTAGCATGGAAGGACATTCACAAACGTACAAAGGAATGGAAGGGAAATGTCAAGCAAACAAAGGAAATTATTGAATCAAAGCAAGAAGACAGATTTTTAAGCACATAACTAAGCGAATCCTCGGTCAGAGAGTTCTCAGGTTCTGCATGGCATACACATACAGAGATAACCCAAACTGAAATTCAAATAGTTAAGGTACGTTAAAGGAGATAGTAACTATAAAAGCATTTTATAAATCTTGATGCACTAATCAAAATAAAATATTCTTACATGAGAATGCAAGAAAGCAAGACTACATTCAAGCAAGCAAAACACACACATTTGAGATTTCTTTTAAACGTAAATGTCATAGAATTTGGATACCTGAAGGAACATTAGGTCTCTTCCATACTGAAAGTAAACTGGCAACCAGATTTTGTGACTGGTTTGCATAGCAGATGCCAATGTTTCAAAATTAAGGAATTTCACAGACACACACAGAGTCGGGATGTTCCCGCTCCTGTTTAAAAACTGGATGATAGGAAAACAGTAGCAAAAACAGGCTGTGGCCAAGGCAGCAGCTGCCTCCTTTAGACAAGGAGCTCTCTAGTTCATCCCAGGCTCTCCCACTGCCTACCTCATCTGAAGCCCAGTAGAAGGAGGGAGGGGTATATGCAAGTGAGCTAACAGTGAGGGACATAAACATTCATTCCCTGTAGGTCCCGTGCCTCCATTAATGAACTGACCCACATACTATGCACACTTTCCTCACTAAATATGGAG